GATAGATAGATAGATAGATAGATAGATAGATAGATAGATAGATAGATAGATAGATAGATAGATAGATAGATAGATAGATAGATAGATGTTGTGTGACTTGGAAGAACGTGTTTGATTCCCTCCTCTCTGTGTTTCTGTTCCTGAACAATAATATAAGTGCTGAGAGTGAGTCTAAACATTTCCTGACACAAAGGCCTTTGGCAGACATATTAAGATAAATAAGTAATTGTTGAACTACTGCAGTCTTACGTATTTCTTTGACAAAGGAGGTGCACTTTGGCTGATGCATCAGCAACCAGACAGTATGTCTCCTTCTTTCTGTATTGATTATTATTATTATCATTCCGCAGACCCATCCATTCTGTTCATCTCATTTGCCATTTATACCGTACGAGATACTGCACTTATGGCTGCGATTCACTTTGACTTGATGGACGCCACATCCTTTATGCTAAAGTATGTTTTTGGGTTTGATCGAACACGGCATATGTTTATCTACCCTGCCCTTACATGGCGCTACCCTGTATGCCACTTTGCATGGCAATCCCTCCAAGCTACCCACCATGGCACTCGCATGCGCTACTTGTGGTAAAGACTATTTCTAATTCATAAAAGCCAAAAGGATCGATACAAAATTCATGAACAATCTGTCCTCCAACAGCCAGTGATTTCTGTGACTGTGGGGCAGTGTAGACATGGTGCGACAGAAAGGAAAGTTCTGCCTCCCCTCATTTTTACAGAGAAACACACTCATACGTCTGCACATACAAATACAAATAAAGAAGAAAGGATAAAAAGAAAAGAGGTCCTTTTAAACTTTTATTATTTAAAGAAAATAATACCCATAAAGCAACTTCCACTTGGTTTTGAAAGTAAATGGAATAAACAAGAGACAATAAATAATCCCAATTTAAAGCATCATTTAGTCCTCTGATATGTTGTAGTCCTGCCCAAATATAGACAGTGCATTTCTATGAATTTAGATAGAAATAGTTTAAAATAGGAACAGAAATAAACCAATAGTTTTGTTCTTAGTGTTGCTCTGGATCCTTTCTCCACAGCCTCATTTGGGAGTCAAACAAAATAAACTCTTTACTGTTCTACATACAGGCCTCTGTATCCAGTGGAAATGGGAATAAATCCCATTTGCCATTTCACTGACACCAATAACCCAAACGTTTCTTAAATAGGCCAGACAAAATTTATGTGAAAAAAATGCCACATATGCTCAAGCTCTGTATGTCCTAAAAGTGACATATTTACTATCTCAGCATCAATGTTTTGAATCTGTTTCACGTCTGATACCCTACATATAGCAAATGAGCCGGGATCCTGAAAATTGTTAATTCACATTGCCATCTGCTGGCCAAACCACACATCATACGGTCTTGAAGCTACAGCTCAACCAAACTATCCACGATTCCACCAATCAGGTGGAAGGGTTTAGGTGGAGCTCTTAGGTGAAGCAAAAAAGCAGGAAGTTCACACAACAATAACAGCAGTTTGGAAACTTTTTTAATCTCTAAACCTCTCCCGGCTGTAACTTTTTATATTTATATTTTTTAACAACTCTCTTGATTTAGTGTGAATTATAATTTAATGATTTGTGGAGCCTGGTGTCCCGGCAGTATGGAACTATTCCAGCACCGTTTGTTTACATGGTGAATCAGCTGACAAGCTAATGTTAGCAGCCTAGCTTTTAAAATTGGAGTCATATGAGCTGGTTGTTATCAAGTAGCTTTGTCCTCATGAATGAATCGCTACGTTAGAGAAGGAGTCGACATACGTTTACACATTATTAAATAATTGTTTTAGAGTCGTGGTTAACCGATAGGAGAGTAACAGTATGCTAAGCTAACGTAAAGTGCGTGTTGAAGTGTTGAAGACGTTGGTTCAGGTCTTTAGTAAAAGAAAGGGGTGCCCTGCAGTATCTCTGTGTAAGATGCCGTGTTCCTGTGGGAACTGGAGAAGATGGATCCGGCCATTGGTCGTTGTGCTGTACATCTTGTTGCTCTTAGTGGTCCTGCCGTTGTGCATCTGGGAACTGCAGAAGTCAAAGGTCAGTGCAGTTGTTGCTCATGCTTCTTTCTGGGGAGATCTGTTGGTTTAACACAGAGATAACACTGGTTCTCAAATACTGCATTTGAATACAGTTGTGAGTTGTTACAGTACTTATGTGGCGTTGTGTTATTTTGAGTACAACTGTGTATAAAGACATGTTCCCCATCAACTGGCTACTTGTTATCATGTACATTAGCAGCCGGTGAGCTCTTCATTATTAAGCACTTATTAATGCATTTGCAAACCTACCAGTTTGTGCAGTAATAGCAAAGTACAGTGCTGTGAAAAAGTACGTCCCACCTTCCTTTTTACATCCCCACGTACGTGTTTCAGGTCATCAAACAAATTTTAATATTAGACAAAGTTAAACCAAGTAAATACCAAATGCAGTTTTTTAGTGATAATTTAATTTATTAAGGGCAAAACTATCCAGATCGATCTGGCACACTGTGAAACAGTAACTTTCTCCCCTTTGTTAAATCTTGAATTAACTGTGATTAACCCCATTTTTTTTGGAACGCTGAGTTCATTTTAACTGACCTGTTAAATCAAGAAATCACATAAATTACACCTATCTGATAAAGCGTAGCAGGCTAAAAAAATCTCACCTTTTAGCCTGCTTCATAGCATCATAGCTCGATCTAAAGAAATTCAAAACAGCTGAGGATAATTATCCAAAAATAGAGAATCTTTGGAGCCGTAGTGAACATTCCCAAGAGTTTTCAGCCCACTAAAATAAGAGTGCATTGACATTAAAACAATTCAGCAAAGAAAAGGTTCGCCCAAAATTCCTGCACAGCGATGTGAAAGATTTATTGCCAGTTATCACAAATGCTTCACTGCAGTTCTTACTGCCAAGGGTGTCACAACCAGTTATTTGCTTTGGGGAGCAATTACATTTTCACGTAGAGCCAGGTAGGTTTGGATAACTTTTTTCCCCTTGAATTAAAGAGCTTGTTGTTTAAAAACTGTTTAAAAAAAAAAAAAAAATTACTCAGAATATCTTTATCCAGTATGGAAATTTGCTTGATGATCTGAATCATGTAAGTGTGACAAACATGCAAAAAAACCCCCCCAAAAAACAGGAAGGGGGTAAATACTTTTTCATAGGAATCTATATTAAGGATGTTGAGGGAGTAATGCTAAATGCTAAATAAGGTATTAAAATATGTTTTATAATTGTTAAGACTGCTGATGTTTTACATATTAACAAGAAACTAGTCAATGACAGACTTTGAAGTCTTGTTTTTTCAAAAGTCATAAAATCTGCTAGAGTAATATAGATGACCTTTTTTATTTTATTTTTTTTAAATAACTACCATCTTCATTGTTCTTCTGGTGTGTTCTACTAAAACAGTCTTTCCTTAATTGTACTTTCTTTAAAAACTATCTTTATCCGAGTCATCACACTGCACTGCAATTTAGTTAAACACGTCCCCTTTATACGGGACTTGAAATTAAGTGTTTTTACATGGTTGTAATGTTTCTGTACTTCAGGATCTGAATACTGCTTTCACCATTGACTTTATATTAAATGATACCCTCCAAGACTCCAATGGCTAAATGACTTAAATGTTGTTGACTGTTCCTTTCCATGTCCCGACAGGTTGGCACTCATAACAAAGCATGGTTCATCGCTGGGATTTTTGTCTTCATGACCATACCCATATCATTATGGGGCATCCTCCAGCATCTAGTGCATTATACTCAGCCAGAGCTTCAAAAACCTATCATCAGGTAAAGATCTTAACAGTCATTTTAGCCACAAATAGGAGCCCAGAACAGATGTTTAACGCTTTTGTGTTTTCTATTTAAAGGATATTGTGGATGGTTCCAATCTACAGCTTGGACAGTGTGAGTTATGTATTTTTTTTAATGAAAGCCATCGCACACCGTTTTATGAGTTTATATATATCGTCATAGCTTTTCCTGTTAATGTTCCCTTTTCATCTTTTTTGTTTCCAGTGGATTGCACTGAAATACCCCAGTATAGCAATATATTTTGACACATGCAGGGAGTGCTACGAGGCGTATGTCATTTACAACTTCATGACGTTCTTGCTTAACTACCTGGAAAACCAGTACCCCAACCTGGTGTTGATGCTGGAGGTTCAGGAGCAGCAGAAACACCTGCCTCCCCTCTGCTGCTGCCCACCGTGGCCAATGGGAGAGTGAGTTCCCTTTAAACGTTTTCCTCTTATGTCAAACTGTAGCTGTCAGCAGGTTAAATTCACTGACCCAGAGTTTAGCTGC